CTACTACTACTACTAATAATAATAATATTGAATTCAAATTAATTATTAACATTATTAATATATATTTTATTGTAGCAATAAAAAAAAACAAAATAACAATTTAGCTATGCAACAGTGAGTAGTTAGGAAAACTACTAATTACTTTAATATATAAATAAAATATTTTTTAAAAAGTAAATTTTTTTGTATTTAAAAAAAAGCTTTATTTTAATGGTTCTAGGGTCAGGTTTAGCCTATAGCAATTATAGTTAGCTAAATCTAAAATAAAAGTCCATGATATATCCTCATTTAGATTAGGTAAAAAGTGTGTGTGTGTGTGTGTGTGTGTGTACCTGATGGAAGAGGGGACTGTGTGTGACAGGAACTCGTAGAGCATTGAGACACATTCCCAAAACCATGTCATCAGGAGCATCATTACTGTAGCACTTACAGCCGCTCACCAACAGCTGGACCACAGCCTCTCGACTGAACACCATCCTGTAAGAGACACAAACCAGCAACACTGGATACTTGACTTCTCCAATGCAGGACGTCCAAAAACATGTCATGCACAAATTGAATAGATCTTTATTGAGTACTGTGATAGGAAATATTGGTTTGTCATCAGGGGCGCAACTGCACATTTGCCGAGGGGTATGCAAGTTCAGTGTCAGCACCCCACTGTATTCTAGTAGCCTCTAACTTGTGCAGAAAACTATCTGCAAGTCAATGGCCAAAAGCCCATTACTAGCTTGTGCATGGAAGGATACAAACTCATCAGGAGTGAAAAAAGTGACAAAGGTTTGAACCCCCTTCCTCTTTTTAATACCATAGGGAAAAAAGTAAAAAAAAGAAAACAAAAGAAAAGTGTGTCACATAACATCCCCTTTAACTCCTGATGGCAGACCCCAGACAGAAGAACACTTTTTTTTTTTTCAAACAAATGTACTATTGCTTACTTTTTAGTTAGGTAATTTGAATATATATATAATTTGCCTCAAAATTATTAATACTTTTGCACAATTTTATATAGTAACATTTATTTTAAAAGAACATCTGCATTGATTTCTTTCTTCATTTTTATTTAAAGAGATCATTCATGGAAAATTTGCCATGCTAAGTGGACGATTTCCGCCAAGATTTCACCTGGTAGATAAACAAATACTATTAAAATGAATGTCATGATTCCCACTATGGCCACATTTTTTTTTCAAACAAATGTACTATTGCTTACTTTTTAGTTAGGTAATTTGAATATATATATAATTTGCCTCAAAATTATTAATACTTTTGCACAATTTTATATAGTAACATTTATTTTAAAGAACATCTACATTGATTTTTTTCTTCATTTTTATTTAAAGAGATCATTCATGGAAAATTTGCCATGCTAAGTGGATGATTTCCGCCAAGATTTCACCTGGTAGAAAAACAAATACTATTAAAATGAATGTCATGATTCCCACTATGGCCACGAAATGGCAGCAGAGGATAATTTATTGTCTCCTTTACCATTTCCACTCTGTAATATAGTTCTTTTCACAAATTTTTGTTAATGGATTTATATTTAGACATTATAAAATCACTATTATAACATTTAAAAATCTCTTTTTTTGTCAAAGTTAAGCATTGTTTTGTATTCAAGTAGCAAGGGTTTTCAACTCATTGAATCTACTTGAATTACAGATGGCCTATTTTGAATTTACAATGGCAATTTTCAGTGAAAAGTGGCTAGTTTGTATCCAATGTTAATTTATTTCAAATGTAAATCAAATGCCCATTCACAAACATGTGTTTCCCCTAAAACACAACTGAATATTAATTTGTACTTAATTGTAATTGAAATAGTTGTGAATTACATCAAGTAATACAGAGTGAATGACAATTTGTTTTATTTTTGTATTTCCTAGGCTCCAGGTATTTTAATAAAAGGGCTCACTATAGCTTTATTGCTCAGTAAGCTTGGTTCTGGGTCTTAACACCACCAAAATCTTGTTCTCCATCATTGCATAGGCCCACTCATGAATGAGACATGCAGATAACTATAGTCAACCTTCACTGAATTTTATATAATCAATGAACTCTGAAAAGTTATCAGTCAGTGTTTAACATTCTATTAGTTGTCAAAACAAATTCATTGCAGCACTTTTGTCATACCTAACTCAAGCTCTGTACAAAGGAAAATAATGTATGAATGTAAAAGTTTTTTTTCATGCATTTAAATATGGTTTCATTTTCTTTTCATTTTCGTACATTACAAATTAACGAAAAATTAGCACATATTTTCTAGTACATTTAACTGCACTGTGCTCACATTTGCCCTACTTGTGCATTAAATTATTTAAAAAAAAATTACATAGCCTATCATCTTGCGCCCTATTGTGATCTCGAATTGCAGGACAGGAAAGTTTGTTTTACTGGCATATAACAATATCTCATCAGACCGCAGTTACCTGTTGTTCTACTGAAGCTCATTTGGCTCATGCACTGCATATACTGCATACCCCGTTTTTGCGCCACTGTTTGTCATTGCAGGGTTTGTGAATCTCACACAAGAGGTTGTTGCATGTGCACTAACAACACAGTCACTTACGGTAAGCTAATTTCTGCTGGACTTGTTTCCAAATATGCTAGCAAATTGCACAGCATGTGGGCATTTGTCTGTAGGGGGCCAAATTAGAGAGCTCAGGTTCCAATTGTGGTTAGCGCACTTTGTCGTCACTTCCGTAAATTGTAATGTTCCTCAGTCATAATGGCAGTGGACTTACATTACTGATAAGTGTTTGCATTTACACCAAATTATGTATTTACAGTACACCATTAGTACACAGTACCAGAGTACACCAAATGAAAATCAATGCCCTTAAAAGCTATAAGTGTATGCATCACAATATTGAAAAATACAGTATGAAAAATAAACATTCATAGATGTATAATAGATTTACAGAAGACTTTTCGACGAGTATGACAAAGGCAATCTAAATGTAAAAACAGAGGAAATGAGCATGCATAATAAAATATCTTTATATTATATCATCTGTAAAAATTAATTTCATAATTTTTTTAAAAATGTATTCTTAAAAAAGTGTCCAGAACACATTGTCAACTAATGTCAAAAGGTTGTTTTCAGTGTGTAGCAGGCACTCACCCCCCACCACCAGTGATGTAACTGTATCCTCCCTGACCCAGTCCATACCCATAACGCTCTCCCAGACACACCAGCTCACTGGAGTCATAGCAGCTCAGCAAGGCCTGCAGTCTGGGCAAGCTGTGAGAACCAAACACATTATGCCACCCACTAACGTGTGAATTGGTGCAAACACCACAGATTCCTTGTAAAATCATGCCATTTTCCAGAAAACAGGCATATTGCCTACATGTACACAAACTGACAGCCGAATAGCCTTACCTTATAAGAGTATCATCATCCACAATCAATAGCCAATCGGTCTTGGGCACATGACTGCTCAAAAATCTCCTCAAGATGGCGAATGTTTTCCCACAGTGACCTGCAAGCAGAAAAAATTACTTAATGTGTTGGAAAAGTCAGCAAGCACCTGTCATATCCTCTACTAAGCAATGTCCCCCAAATCCAGCTACCTTATGTTTTTTAATACCTAAAGGTGAAATGACTTTGTCTGACTTTGCTGAGATCTTCACACCTCAATGCTGTCATTCAGCTGTCTGAAGAAACTGCAAATTAACACACTGTCCGTCCACAGTCTGAATGGGAAATGGAATGAGAACGGGACGCTATATATCCATTATGTACTCTTCGGATAAGTACCGTAGACATGATGTGATGTGATATCACAATGTTTCCTAAGCAAACAATCAGATTGTGATATTGAATAGACAATGTGCACCGTCAGAGGACAATGAATGAAGTAGAATGAAGAAACTGCACTAGTGAAAGTAATGTGAAAAAGCACGAAAGCATCAGCGACAATGAAGGCCATAGGAAGAGAGCAGAACAAGATGTGCTGCTGTCAGATTTCACAGGGAGAACAGGACCCTCCTCCTAACAAATATCACAAGCCCCTGTAGTGTGCTCAGATAGCCTGCAGCCACCAGTTAAATCCTCCCTCAAGACAGCGATGAGGGGAACAAGAAGCAGCCATCCTGATGTGTGACAGTGTGTACATCAGGACTGGGCATTATTCAGAGTTGACTCCCTTTCAGTTCATAAGTGTGAATTTGAATTTAATTTCAACTGGAATGACAGAAAGAATTATTTACTGAACTGCATGTCTAAGAAATTCAACACTTTACTTCCATCAAGGTCCACAAAAGTTATTTTATTATATATTCATAAAACAAATACAAATATGAGTTAAAGCAAATATTATATAATTGTTAAATTATTTATATATTCATAAAAGCAAATAAATTAATAAACAATTAATAACTTATTCTTTTTTATGGAAATTATTGTTGGTTATTTGCCTGTGTGTGTGTATAAATCCACATATACCTACATAAACACACACCTACATATATGTGTGTGTGTGTGTGTGTGTGTGTGTGTGTATATATCTTTAGTCATGAAACTCTAGATGGAACATGCTGATGGGTTGTTAACGTAACTGATGATATTCAGAGAGTTAAACTACTTGGCACAAGCTGATTGGTACATGCTGCATAGGCAGCCAATGAGCTTACTGCCTTGCATTTATATGGTTGGCTAGCATTCACTAAAAATTCACTAGAGATTCCTGCAGAGTGCTTTCAGAGTTTCTCTGAAACCCTTCACCTTCCCCAGCTCCACCTGTATAGATCTGCTATGGGTTATTTTATATGCTATTTATGCAGCAGCAGTATGTCTTAAATACTCGCAGCACTGTATCGCCGTATGCATTGGCAGTAGCAAGTTCCTGTACTTGCTTGCAGCAGCAATAATATACAACTACAGCAATAACCAACAGCAGCAGCATTTGCATTTGTTTTTGTGACAAATGAGGACATAAATTTGTATAATGACAAAGGTATGACATAGTCAAGTCAAGTCAAGTCTGCTTTATTGTCAATTCTTCCACATGTACAGCACATACACACAGAGAATTGAAATTGCGTTACTCTCAGACCGTTGGTGCATACAGATAACATAAAAACAGATAGGTACAGATTAAATACAAAAATACAAAATACAAAATACAACTATACAAATAAGGTAAAATGTAAAAAAATATATATATAAAGCACAAGGCATATGGCAGATAGAGTGCAAACCAGTAAAAGTAAACAACAGTGCAGATATAATGATTGTAGTGCAAAAAACAATGATTTGTAGTGCAAAAGAGCTTATTTCGAATGATTAAAGTGACAGTGTGTGTGTATTTGGGAGGGGGGGAGTGGGAGAGTCCATCAGAGGGTCAGAGTTCAGAGGTGCGTGGGGCAAAAGAGGGGAGGGGAGGCGAGGTCGGGAGGGAGTTCAGCTTCCTGACAGCCTGATGGATGAAGCTGTCCTTCAGTCTGCTGGTCCTGGCCTGGAGACTCCGCAGTCTCCTCCCTGATGGCAGCAGACTGATATACGGTCTGTTCAGTATAAAAACCATTACGCCTATGGGATGTCCCCACTTTTCACAAAAACAAACCTGTGTGTGTGTATATGTATAAAATACACATTTCATAAATAATTAGAACATCTCTCATGTGTGTATAGATACATTTTATTAAATATATTAATACATTAAATGTCATAATTACCTTGATTAATATTATTTAATATTATGTGGTTATTTCTCTGTGTGTATAAATCTATATCGACATATGAGGATGACAGATGCATAGACAGATTCTAACAACGTTAGAACAACAGACAGACAGAACGATAGATAGAACAGATGCATAGAACAGATAGATAGATAGATAGATAGATAGATAGATAGATATAGAACAATAGATGGAATGGTAGATAGATAGAACAACAGACAGAATGACAGACAGAACGATAGACAGAACAACAATAGATAGATAAACTAGTGTCTTTGATCCCTCTTAACTTAACACAGTGATAGACAGCCTCATTTTCATCACTTTCTGTCAATTATTAAAAGCAAAAATCCTGCTATGATTTGGCTTTGACATCAGGTGAGAACAATACAGAAAATTAATTGAATCCATTGAAGAGGGTTCTTAGTCACATACATCATGTCAATTTAACACCCTTATGAATAAACAAGTAGGCAGAACAGGGGAACAGAATGTGCCAAGAGCTTTTTAGAGCATCAAACAAAAGGGAGAAGGTGATCAAACGAATGACTGACCCATCAGAAGCTACCTGAAATAAAGTTTTCCTTTTAACTGAGTGTTAGAAAAAACCCGCAGGAAAGAGATACATCATGAATGCAGGAGTGCTGGAGGAGTTTCTATAGAAATAAGGTGATCAACTGAATGGACAAAATGGCTAAATGAAAGACTCCAGTACAGAATATGAAGGTATCTGTCCTAGTTTGTGGCTCTGATTGGACTTCCTGTTCTAATCAGAAGTAAAACACTTCAGCATCAGAGTTCACTTCAGCATGATGATCACATTTGCATATGTTATCATATCAGTGACAAACTGCCATGGAAGTGCAGCTTATCAGCTTGTGAGTGGGCTTGGCAGGATTGGAAAGTGATACTGAAAGTTGACCCTATAGCACACAGCATTTACTGACTGCTTCTTGTTATTAACTTGTTAAATTTCATTCTAATCAGCAGAAAACAGCCAAAACTTGAATCAAATCAGAATTTCACAAAAAAAAAGAAACTGATCACATTTTAAACTCTACCAGCTAGTGCATCACAATATCTGAGGTCTACAACAAACACATGAAGATCCAGGACAAAAGACTTCTGCATTCACATCCATACTATACCTCTATTCCATCTCTTAGAATCATAGAGTTCCAAAAAGCCAACACTGTATCCAGCCTGAAGTGCTAGACATTTTATGCACACATCAGAGATCTTGACTGTATTTAACAATTCAAATCATATAACAGCATCATATTTTTGACACCATCTGTTGAACTAAATTCAATTTATTGTAGTAAACTATATTAATAAAAACTGTAATGACTGGCAATGTTTCACATTTTGTAGTGAGCCATGTCTCACATTTGGATGCATTACATGCTATTAAAAATAACATAACATTACTTAAAATTGTGACACCGAAGAACTAAAATCACCTGTTAGCCATTCTATTTAGTGATTTAACAATAAATCACACATTAGATGTAAAGATCAAGTATAAAAACATAATCGATCACTCACCCCTTTCTGTGTTTGGCACTCCCAGATCAATGGTGGGTATTGAAGGATCGGCATAATCGCTGTAATACTCCAGCAGAGATGCTCGTTTAGCCCATGTTTTCTTCACCACAGGAACTGTTGTGTGGGAACAGAATCAATCAATACTTCAACACATAACAGATAAGTCCCACAATCCTCAGACCGCTGCTTTATCTTCTAGGGCTGACAGCGATCAATGTTTAATATCAAAGATCTTGGATATTGTTTTTTAAAGCTGGAGTTTAAATAAAATTTTACCAATGGAAACAAACATGATGTAAACGCAATCCATTATAATGCCATTATGTTTAAACCACCAGCATCTGCAGTAGTAGAACAACATTCTGCAGGTAAGAGAGCATCAGATTTGTAACAAACTGTTACAACTTTAATACTGATGCCTCCATTTATAACAAGACTTGTGGATGCAGCAGTTTCATCTAAAAATAATTGAAGGGGAAATATCATCCTTCTAATACCATCCTTAGAACTCCTCAAAGTGACTAGCGAGAGATAATTATGATAATCGGCGCAATTAGATGCAACTGACGTGTCAGTTGGTTTGGCGTTGACGGATTTTTTTCTTCTCTGAATTCAAACGGCAACACTTTATCTGTCTCATTAAGTTTGAATTGATGCCTGGTGCTTAGCGACTGCTCAGAGTTGCCGTGAAGGGCTATAATAGTGGAGAGAAGACTGGAGTGATGCCACCGGGGCACTCAGTCAAAGATCTCTCAATATGGAGTCACTTCGGAGGTCAAATAGTGACGCTTGCTGAACTGTTAAAGTGAGAGGACATCAGACTTCATCAGCAGTGACTTGAGCAGTGTGAAGCGGTGACGTGCAGCGTTCGAGGCACCACACGTAACCTTTCGCACAGCTTCTGACACACGATATCACTAAGTGTTCTTGTGAAGAATGGGAGGACCCATAACGTTGTTTATTAGTTATCAGAGCTGTTGAAACCGGAGATTCGCACTAAATAAAACCAAATAATCCACACATAAGATGAAATCAACAGATGCAAGAAGTAGGCCTTTTTGATGAAGCCGGTGCGCATTAACATTTACTGTAACTGTATAGAGATTTTTGCTCAAACACAGTTTTATCCAGATCCAGCTCCAGAATTAAATACCGAGGGTGCTTCAGAAATTAATGCACATAAATTTTCACGTTTATTTTTGTCCCATCCATTGTTCTTTTGAGGGTGAATCCTGCATAAATAGGTGTCATTCTCAAAACTTTGCAATGTGTATATGGCCGAAAAACAAAAGTTTTATACAAATTCTGAATTGATTATATATAGCATAGAAAGCACACAAAGAACACTCGCTTTATAATCACTAAAAAGCTGTCCATCGTCTTAGTTCATCGCAATCTCATGAAGTTTTGTTATAATGAGATGACTCGTGAGCTTGCAAAACTCAGCACTAGACAAAAACTCTGGTGTTTTGAGCGATGAGTGGATTCTCAATTAAATGCCTCTGATTGGCAATTGCATTCAAGGAATCAACAGATATGTCTGCGATTGGCTACATTGCTCAACACTGCAAAAAACACAATGTAAATAGAAAACTTTTGACGCTCTCCAGAGCGCAAACACAAATGTGAACTGGATAGTTTGCCAGATCTGTTTTGCCAATATGATGGATATGATGTGAATAGAGAATATCTCGAGTTTTTCCCGTGGGTGCTCGAGCCCCCAAGCACCCACAGGATCGGCGGCTATGGCAACGTATGTGTTAGGGGTGCTGATCATAAAGAACGTACCACTCACCTCTGTCAGAATGGAACTTCTTACAAGTTTTCACTGCTACAAAGATGTTGTCGCTCTTAACAGGCTGGCCCTGGGGACACACGGGTAAAGAGAAGGTTTTGAATAATTAAATAACGCTCAATGTTACACAGTCATCACCGTGCAATTATTCATACTATTTAAATACTTCTTTACTGTGCAGAGGTGTGAAAAAGAACGAGCACTACTAGAAAAGGTTTTTTTTCTTCAACATATACTTTTTGGACACAGATACTGAATTGGCATTAACTGAATAAATAAAAGGCTGATCATAAAATATCATTTAATAAATGACAATCGGAATGTACAACTTATACAGATATACCCATATTTTAGGCACAGATGGTTAGTACACATTTATATTTATAAATATATCAAGGGTCTAAAATTAGAATCATATTAGTTTAACAATTATAGAAGGCCACACCTTATATAGACTTCAATAAACTGATTAGGTTTGATCAGAAGCTTTGAAATACCCTGTTTTGTTATCATAGGCCGTGTTGTTATTGTCAAGTAAAACTATTAAAAATAATTGAGACAAAGCTGAAATAAAATAAAATATAAACATTAGAAATGTTGTCTTGGTAACTAACTGAAATAAGTTGACGTTGAAGTACTAAAATTATTAAACTGAAATAAAATAAATTAAAGATAAAAAGAAATATTAAAAAATACAATACAATAAAATTCAAATTATAAAAATAAAATACAATTACTAAAATTCAAATTGAAAACTGAAAATATAAAAATAAAAGTGAATAAATACTACAATATTATATAATTAATACTAAAATAACACTAATGCTAAGATTAAAAAATGCTCCTGAGCCACTCAAAAAAAAATAAAATAACTGAGGCTTTATTTAATATTATATAAGCTACAAGTTATTTAATATTCTCTGTTATGAGTTGGAGTAAAACTATCCAAAAATGGAGAATGATACAGATAACTGTGGAATAAATGAATTAAATTAGCTGCACTACTCTTAAAATAAGCACACCGACAGAGAATAGTATAGTACTAAACTTAGCGAGTGAATCATTTCTTACAGGCCATGAAACTGTAATTATTTTTTATTCCAGAAATATATTTTCATCACTATGACAAAGGAATTATTTAATTGTTTGTTAATTGTTTATTTGTGACAACAGCTCAGGTCGCTTTGTTCAGCATAAGTGATAAGTGATGATTCAGTCTCTGCTGTTGAAACTGCACCTGTGAAGTCACATCAGTCACGATTTTCATTTTGGAGGCTTCCCATTAATGTGAGGGATATTCCACATTAGTGTGTTAAGTCACCCTTTATAAACTATTCTAATTTGCCACTGTGCATCACAACAGGTGTTTTCAAACCATCAGCAATAGTCATAGTGTTATACTTGCAATGCAAAGTTACCGACAAGACCATTTACTCAAGTCATTTTTACTAGCATAGATGCAAGCTTTAAGAGTCACAAACTGCAATGGAGGTTGTTTATCCTCAGGAAACATCTGCCCTACCAAATCAAACTTGTGATTTTCACCATTCAACGGACACTGCAGTCCAACTTCTTTTTGTATTATGCCAGTGTGTGTTTCTGTATATTTCTGGTTGATGTTTTGGTACTGGATTTGAGGAGAGCATGCCAAGGTCTGATAACCGTAACCGAGGTAAAAGTGCTCAGCACTGCTTCAGGGAGATATTGCTTTGATCTGAGCCTACTGTGAATATTAAATGCCAAGAGATTCTGGATGTTGTTGTCAGAAGAGACGACACATTGAGGCAGGAGAGGACAGCTAGTCCTGACTGAAATAACCCGATAATGCTGGTGCCCTTTAGAATAGCCTGCAGTGAAGATGGCTGTTGAAAACAGTCATGGTTATTTAAAATATTTAGCGCTCCTTAATCTTTTTGTAGGATATAAAATATTATATATGATAGAAGATATTTTTAATTATTCAATAGCAGTGAATGAAGAGGTATCATACTGATTACAAGTACAGTATGGAGTACCACAAGGCTCAGTACTAGGACTGTTGCTTTTCACGCTTTACATGTTAACCTTGGGAGATATCATCAGGAAACATGGTGATAGCTTTCACTGTTATTCTGATGATACTCAGCTCTATACAGTGGGGCAAAAAAGTATTTAGTCAGCCACCAATTGTGCAAGTTCTCCCACTTAAAAAGATGAGAGAGGCCTGTAATTTTCATCATAGGTATACCTCAACTATGAGAGACATCCCCACTGTATATCGTCATGGCCCAACGATACATACCAATTAGCAAAACTGATATATACCAATTTGCAAAACGGAATGCATATTTGATATAAAAAAATGGATAACTAGTAATTTCCTACTGCTAAATTCTGAAAAAAAAAACAAAAAACAGAGGTGTTAATTATTGGACCAAAAACCTCCACATGTAATGAGCTAGAACACTGTCTAACACTTGATGGCTGCTCTGTCAGTTCTTCGTCATCAGTTAGGAGCCTAGGTGTGCTATTTGATAGAAATATTTCCTTTGAAAAACATGTTTCTAGCATTTGTAAAATCTAATTTTTCCATCTTAAAAATATATCTAAATTACAACCTATGCACTCAATCTCAAATGCAAATGCAATCTTGCAAATTTTTTATAAAGCCCTGAATGGTTTAGCTCCTCAGTACTCGAGCGAGCTCACATCACATTATAGTCCTTCACATCCGCTGCAATCTCAAAACTCTTGCCATTTGATAATACCTAGAATATCAAAATCATCCGTTAAAGGAACCGGGAACACATTTCATAACACCCGATGTACTCATTACATGCCATCATTAAGAATGGAATTTACACTAATATTAGTCTGTTTCATTCTTATTCTGAGGTCACCGTAGCCACCCAGATCCAGTCCATATACAGACCAGATGGTGGATCAGCACCTAGAGACGACCACTACAGCCCTGAATGTCAGCAGAGACCATATCAACTAGATGAGCCCGAGAGACAGATCACCAGCGAATACCTAGTCAATTAGATGGCCATTAGGAAAAGTCTTCTGCACATATTGTTTTATGAGGTATCAATCTTGTCAAATAAGACTGTCTAGTTCACTCGATTCAGAGCCTCAATCCCAGCAGCTTATGAATTATGTAATATAATGTTTCCAAAAGAAACCACAAAGTAGCACTTAAAATCAATGAGATTGTAATGGTCCATAATGGAAACAGGCGACTGACACTTTAATGTGCTTGATGGTGATGTATGTGAACAACCCAACTTCACATATTCATAGTCATTTGAGTAAAGTTTTAAGCATAACAATTATGCAGTGAACACATGGGCGCAGTCTTCAGACTGAAACAGGATGAAAAGGCTCATGACTAACATTGTTCACCAATGTGCGGTCATTGGTGAACAAAATGGACGAGATACGACTTCGCATCACCCACAGTAAGAGACTTTTGAATTTGCAACGTCATGGTTTTCACAGAAACATGGCTACACAGCGACGTACCCAATAATGCTATTGAGCTAGCCGGACGCTACACGCTCTGGGCAGATAGGACGGCAGATGACTCCGGCAAGACCAGAGGCGGAGGATTGTGCATTTATGTTAACAAAGCTTGGTGTACGAACTCTGTCATTGTTGGGAGACACTTCTCAGCTAACCTAGAGTTTCTCACGGTTAAGTATAGACCTTTTTATCTGCCACGGGAGTTCACTTCCACCATTATAACTGCAGCCAATATTCCACCGGATGCTAATGGCAAGCTTGCTATGAACGAACTGCATGCGGCCATTAGTAAACAACAGACTGCTCACCTGGAGGCTGCATTTATTGTCGCGGGTGATTTTAATCACTCCAACTTAAAGACAGTGCTCCCTAAATCCCATCAGCATGTTTCCTGCCACACTAGAGGAGACAAAACTTTGGATCATGTTTACACAAACATTGATGGAGCTTACATCGCGACCCCCCTCCCCCACCTGGGACAGTCTGATCACCTTTCTTTGTTTCTCATCCCTAAGTATTCACCTCTCATCAACCGTGTGAAGCCATCAGTGAGGACCATCAAAGTGTGGCCAACAGGAGCAGACTCTTTACTTCAGGACAGGTTTCAATACACGGACTGGAGTATGTTTGCTTCTCAGGCTGCCTGTGGCTCTCACACGGACATTGATATCTATACCTCCTCTGTAATGGATTACATCAACACCACCATTGACAAGCAACTCCACTCCAACGGTCACAGACGTCTCTTTCCTTAACGAGCTGAATGACTTTTATGCTCGCTTCGACAGTGACAGCAAGGAGACGGCCACCAATATCACACTCTCAGCAGACCACCAACCCCTCAAACTCACCTCCACAGATGTCTACACCGCATTGAGCCGGATCAACGCACGTAAGGCTGCTGGCCCCGACGGCATTCCTGGATGTGTGCTTAGGGCATGTGCAGCGCAGCTCGCAGGGGTCTTCACAGACATTTTCAACCTGTCCCTCACCCAAGCAACTGTGCCAACATGCTTTAAGTCCACATCCATTGTGCCAGTGCCGAAACACTCCTCCCCGACGTGCCTGAATGACTACCGCCCCGTAGCACTCACACCTATTGTTATGAAGTGCTTTGAGCGACTGGTCCTAGCACACCTCAAGAACTGCCTCCCACCCACACTGGACCCACACCAATTTGCCTACCGTAGCAATAGGAGCACAGAGGATGCAGTATGCACAGTGCTGCACTCGGTACTCACACACTTGGACAATAACAACACATATGTA